AACAACAACAACAACAACAACAACAACAACAATCCAGCAACCCTCGAACATCCAACCCAGACCTTGTTTTTCATGAAGAACGACACCTGGCTTTTATGTCAAATCCTGCTCAGCTTAAAGAAGATTCCCCAGCCTCGGATCCATGCACCAGTTCCAGTATTTTTTACAGACTGGAAGCAGCTTTAGGTCCTGATGTTGTTGTTTCTGGGATTTGTGTTGGGTAGTACTAGTAATAACACCCCAAGCCTCCAGTATCCCCCCCAGACCTTTCCTTTGGTGAACAGTGCCTGGAGTACAGGCTAAATCCTCCTCAGTTTAAAGGAGATCCCCCAGCCTCAGCCCCTTGCACCAGTTCTAGTATTTTTTATAGACTGGAAGAAGACGAGTCTGGTCAGGGTGTTGTTGTTTCCAACATTGTGTTGGACAACAACAAAAACACTCCAAGCCCCAAGAATCCAACTCAGACCATCCCTTTGAAGAACAACAACCACAATATAGGCTAGATCCTAGTAGTACTCAGTTTAAAGAAGACCCCCCAGCCTTATCTCCATGCCCAAACTCTTGTTTTGCCAGACTGGAAGCAGTGCCTTCTGGTCACAATGTTGTTGTTCCCAACATCCATGCCAGGCAGCAGCAACAACAACCCAAGCCCCATTCTAGATCTTTTAGATCTATCTCCTGTCTCTTTACCAATGCCCTCCCATCTAAACAGCTTCCTGCTTTTGTTAGCATCAGTGCACTTGTCCACAACCCCTCGTCCAAGAAGATTGTTCAAAAACTATTAGAAGTATTTATTTTCTTGAACTATGATCTCTCTTCCCTCTGGATCTTACTACTACTAGTAGTAATATCTACTCTTAGGCATCAGCCCAAAATTTACGACTGGTTTGTACATTTGCTGGCCAAGCCTATACAATAGTACTTCCTCCAGTCCACTGAGAGTGTCATTGCAACCGTTATTTGCTGGTCCTGAGAGAGTGTCCCTCACTTTACTTAACGTTTTTTAGTTTTTGACGGTTGGATTCTACAAATGACTGTGTAGAAAATGTATAAACAGTACTGGAGACAAAATGTGCATGCAAACAAACAAAAATTAATTTATTGTTAACACATTAAAATGCACTCTATTGACAATGGTACCAAGCACCTCTTTTGAATTCAAATGACCAATATAAGGAAGCAAGCTATATCAGTCAAAAGTATAGCCTCAAAAAGTACATTATCTTGGCTATCATGTGCAAGTAGCGGCATATCAAAATGACCCGTTGGAACCAATTCAACCTGTAAAATGAAAATCACATGCTGAAATTGGGCCCTTTTAACTAGCTATTGAAAGTACATCAAATGTTTTCATTATGTGCAATCTTCATAACTGTATACAGCTATAATAAATCTGTAAAGGACAAAAAGAACCATTTGAATTGCCCAAATATTGAGCTTATTTCAATATGACAGGCGCAAACTGAACACTCATTGTGGACCAGAGGAAGTACTAATTGAGCCTTGGGGTTGAGGTTATTGTCGTATAAAGTTGGCATTAAAATCCACGATCCAGTTGTAGATTACGGGCCCTTATCTTTCCATGTAATGACTACTTTGACTTAAACACTGAATTGTACTAAGTTTGCAA